TATTATTATTATTATTATTATTATCCCTTCCTTTTCTGTCCTATTAAACTGCCTTTATCTCAACCCACGAATTTTACTTTTTTTCCCTGATTCTCTCCCCCATCCCACTAGCAGGGGGGCGTAAGCAAACAGCTGTGTGGTGTTTAGCTGCCTGCTGGGTTAAACCACAACACTGTGGCAAGGCAACAGGTTCCTATGTGGAGAAGATACTTCTCTAGTAAAATACATAGATGGAGCAAATATATAAATATATACAGTAGGATTAAGAAAGCTAAAACTTTAATTCACAGAAAAATATACTGGTTAGTTTAAGCAGTTTTACTGCTTAAAATGTTAAATTCAGGGAAGATTCATACATAAAGCAAACAGTGTTCCGATTTGTGATGCAGTAATTAAGATGCAATTCATCAGTTTACAGTGCTGTATGTAAATATTAGGAAAATCAAAACTATCAAAGAAGAACCAGGACTGAAGTAAAAGAAATAAGACAAAGTTAAAAAGCACTAAGACAAAATGACACACTACAGACTAACAAGAAGAGCTTCCGCTACATTGGTGTTTATCAGTTGAGAAAAACCAAGAAGGAAGACCTCAGTGTCAGATAACGCAGCCACAAAAGGGGCAGGTGCTGTGTTAGGGTATACCAGCCAACGTGCTCTTGTCACTACAAAAAGCAGCAATGAGATTGAGTTGGGAACACTGGCTACAAGAAGTTAAACACTGCCCACCTCAGTCTGTAACACACGTAGAGAAAGGCTTATGAGGACAATGGAGAGTCAGCCTCCCCAGAGCAGACCAAAAAATTGTTAAGCTCGGCAAGGTGGAGGCTGAGATGAGTTACAATTTGCTCTCCAGAAATACATGACAAGGGCTAAACACCAGAGAGGTGAAAAAAGCATTAAGATAAATAGAAAGTTAACAAAATAACTAACCTAACTGGAATAACAGCAACCAAGAAAGCTAGTTTAGCCAAGGAAAAACCTGGTTTCTGTATAAAAGGAGCATTATGCCATTGTTAAGACTAGATTCAACAGCTCAGGAAACTCCATCCAGCCCTATGCTTCTATGCACTCATCAGCAAAGCATCTAAAATTTCTTACAAAATTATACTTCTTCACAGAAGTGGCCTATAAGGCGGCTTGAGTTTTCTTCTCTTTTCATTGTCCAAGATGAAGGCAGAACAAACTTTAAGTTCACTTCTGTGACTCTCAGTTCAGATGAGAAGTTACAAAGCATTTTACTTACTCTGGCTTTTGGAGAGTTCCTCAATGAGGACAGAGACATCTGACATTATGTGGAGCTCTTTTCAGGGTTAAATGTGATATGCAATAGTTTTTGGCAAAGTATTTTACTATTTTATATCATTTTTATTTTGGCAAATTTAGTGTGGGCACACAAAGTTCCAATTTGGTATCCTTTGTAACTTCAACTGTATTTATTTAGTAGAGTTATTTTTTCTTTTTCCATTCTAAAAGCAGGGCACGTACTGTGAAAGCTCCTAGACACCATGAAAGCTACTCACAAAGCAAGTCACAGCCAGCCACAGTCACAAGATCAAGGGCTGATACAATGGACCCACTACATTATAACCCTGTAATATACTGTACCACCATTCACCTTCAGGACATTTAATATAAATACTTAAACCTGGTCAGTTATTATTCATTTCACTTAAAATGAAGAAATTAAAATGGCAGAGATAATAAAGGAATCTAAAAATTCTATTTACAATACTGTGACAAAAAATGACTAGTTCTGTCGCCACAGGCAAATCCCTTTCATCTCTGTGGCTGAGCTCACGCATCTGCAAAATAGAGACAATGAGACCTAGTAACTACATCGAGCTTCTCTGCTGGCAAGTTATATTTGTACCTTGCTCACTATCATCAGGAAGTCACACCCATTTTGCAGAGCAACATTGGAAATCACACATTCTAGAGTGATGTGTTTTAAAATCAGTCCATCAGTGAGATCTTTAGAAAAATATTGCAGCTTCTGCAGGGAAGGCAAGTCCTACCTACTGATCTCCCAGCAAGTTCTGACCTCGCACAGGTGCCCTCCTACTCTCCACCCCTTCTAAAAGCAACTTTGGTTCTTCAACTACATTTCTAGAGTCTGCCTGTAAGTTCTCCTCTTTGACACAATCACATTTTTTAATTGCACTTCAATTCTGTTGTGCTTTGGTTCCTAATTAAGAACCACTAAAGTGCTAGCTTTAGCCATAGCAACTAAATTGAACATCAGTAGTACATACCCAGGTAGTAAGCCCAGAGAGTCCAATGTCACTTGCATATGAAAGATTCTAACTGGGCACCGACTCAAGCCCCTTTTTCACCCTGCGCTGCACAGTTTTTAAATCACATTGCCCTGCAATAGCAGTAAAACCACGGCAGAGTGTGGTAATGCGCTACTGCAGACCACACCAAAGCACCAGCTTCTTGGCATGTTCCGCCTCTGGCCTTCTGCATTAAGAAATGATGATGATGGAAAAAAAGAGCCTTCAAAGACTGCAGCATGTTTTTGCTTAATTAAAACCAGATAGAAATTGTTTTGCAATCGACCAGTGCTTGCTGCCAGATTTTAAAAGCCATTCAGATCCTTCTCTGTAAGGAAATTATATATAGTGAGATTTTTTTCTCCCCAGTCGTTTGTACTTGCAACCAGGGTTACCACACAAACTGAGGAGGACACCAGTTCTCAATTAAATCTGCCACACCATTATTCCTAAATACTGCAGAAAGTGAAACACGTGACACCATTCCCTGTAGAGAAACCTGAAAGTGTGATACAAAACAAACATAAAAACGACAGGGCATGTACATGCTCCTATTGAAAATCCCTCACTTTCTCCTCCTCCCTCCCTTCTTTCCTCTTTCTCACTCACTGTAGAGCAGCTAAATAACTCCAGGGAGGAACAAACGACTAACCT